TCACTGGCCTGATTTTCAGTGACATCAGATCACTGGCCTGACTTGGGGAGAGGTTATATCTCTCAGTGACATCAGATCACTGGCCTGACTTTGGAAGATGTTATATCTCTCAGTAACATTAGATCACTGGCCTGATTTTCAGTGACATCAGATCACTGGCCTGACTTTGGAAGATGTTATATCTCTCAGTAACATTAGATCACTGGCCTGATTTTCAGTGACATCAGATCACTGGCCTGATTGTGGGAGAGGTTATATCTCTCAGTGACATCAGATCACTGGCCAGACTTTGGGAGAGGTTATATTTCTCAGTGACATTAGATCACTGGCCTGACTTTGAGAGATGTTATATCTCTCAGTAACATCAGATCACTGGCCTGACTTTGGGAGATGTTATATTTCTCAGTGACATCAGATCACTGGCCTGCCTTTGGGAGATGTTATATTTCTCAGTGACATCCGATCACTGGCCTGACTTTGGGAGATGTTATATCTCTTAGTGACATCAGATCACTGGCCTGACTGTGGGAGATGTTATATTTCTCAGTGACATCAGATCACTGGCCTGCCTTTGGGAGATGTTATATTTCTCAGTGACATCAGATCACTGGCCTGCCTTTGGGAGATGTTATATTTCTCAGTGACATCCGATCACTGGCCTGACTTTGGGAGATGTTATATCTCTCAGTAACATTAGATCACTGGCCTGACTTTGGGAGATGTTATATCTCTTAGTGACATCAGATTACTGGCCTGACTTTGGGAGAGGTTATATCTCTCAGTGACATCAGATCACTGGCCTGACTGTGGGAGATGTTATATTTCTCAGTGACATCAGATCACTGGCCTGACTTTGGGGGATGTTATATCTCTCAGTGACATTAGATCACTGGCCTGACTTTGGGAGAGGTTATATCTCTCAGTGACATTAGATCACTGGCCTGACTTTGGGAGATGTTATATTTCTCAGTGACATCAGATCACTGGCCTGACTTTGGGGGATGTTATATCTCTCAGTGACATTAGATCACTGGCCTGACTGTGGGAGATGTTATATCTCTCAGTGACATCAGATCACTGGCATGACTGTGGGAGATGTTATATCTCTCAGTGACATCAGATCACTGGCCTGATTTGGGGAGATGATGAATCTCCTTCTGAGTTAGGCAGCCTATAATAACAGGGGATGTTAGATCTTCCCTGGGGTGTGCAGGCCTGATTTTTGGAGATGTAAGCTCCCCCCTACCGTCTGGAGTTGGTCTGTCTAATTCACTAAACAGGTTGTGCACCACATCAAGGCTAAACCTCCCCAGATTGGGCTGATTCTTTGATTCCACAGATAAGGCTGGTTGTGCTGAAGTGAGGGGAGAGTTAGAGAGCTAAACTTGCAGTCGGTGTCTACAACTGTTTTACTATATAGGTATTGGCTTAACTCTCTCTACCACAACTAACGCTTTTCCTCAGATCTTCTAGTAAACTCACCATAGGATTATACCTACAAATGAATACTATCTCTTGGAGCTGTTGTTTCTTGCATGTTTTTAATATTACGATAAAATGTTATCACCAATTTTTCAGGATATATTTGATCTTACCACCCACATGCTATAAGACGTCTTGTGTTACAGTAGAAGTCTGTGTTTATCTATCATGGCATTAATCTTCCCTAATCTTGCTTAGCCATCGTGTATTTTCTTACGAAGTAAACAAAAAAAATCCTTTTGAAAGGTTTACCACGCACTGATATAAATTAAGATAACAAAATCAAAAAAAATCCACAGGGTGTGACTTTCCTCATAATTTTTTCTATGGTTCTGCAAGGAGTCGAACCCAGGATCTCTGGTTTACTAGTGATATATGCTCTACCAAATGAGCTAAAGAGATCTTCTATCTAGCCAAATGGGTAGGATTAGTGGCTAGTATTTTGTAATAGTAACGGAAGGTGCTGAAGATAGAATTTTTGTGACATTTTGGTGACCTCTGAGATTATATCTTTGTTAATCAGTATTCCTGTGTTACTGAGTAATATTTAGACTACCCCTCTCCCCCAACACCATCTGTAGAATATTAAATTTATAATATTGGTCTCCTTCCTATGCTTCAAACTTGGGGTCAGATAAGCTTATAGAGGTCAAAGAGGACCATAGCTGGACAGTTTCTACAAAAATCATTGGACTGGTAGCACAGTTTATCCAGTATCCTAAATGATAAAACTGTTAACTCATTCACCCCTGGATTTTCATAATGAACTATTTCAACCTTTGAATTGGAAGAGTTCAAATGTGTCTTTAGGAGTAAATGAGTTAAGGAGAATAACTGACCAGAGGGAATGTGGGCGTTTTTTCTGTAGCCCGACGCTGCCTGGATATGCCACTTTGGTATCATGGTGTACTTTGACTTAGGGCTAATATAAGAATTAAGACGTCATCATATAAGAAATGTTGCCGTTCTATATAAAAACCCATCTCGGTGTTAGCTCCGTACGTGATCTCTCAGACCCCATTTGATGCCAAGGTCTGTTGTTGAAGCTTCAGGGATCTGAGAAATCATTTTACAGTTTTTTTTGTGCGGTTGCCAACAGTTTTGGACGTATTCCACTCCTACACACACAGAGTATGAACAGATGAAACCTTTGTAAACACAATCTTTTCCGTACAAAATGTAACTCATTCCCCCAACTTGGGTTGGTGTTGGCATGGTCAGCCAATGCTGAGTACACAAAACCTTGTGATTCTTGGTATCAAAGAGGCTGTGTAAATAAACTGAAACCTGCCCATGTGTCAGTGACCACCTCCATAAAGAGACCACCTGTGTTAAGAGACCACTTTTAATGTTTTCCATTTCAATAATTTCATTGTGTTTTAATTGTACCTGTATTGAAATTAAAAAGAACACTTTTGGATGATCCAGGAATGGTGTCTTAACTCATTCACCCCTGAAATTTCATATTGAACTATTCCAACCTTTGATTGGAAGAGTTCAAAATGTGTCTTCAGGGGTGAATAAGTTAATCTATTCATCCCTAAATTCACATTTGAACCTGACAAAATCAAAGACTGGGCAAGTCTAGTTTAAATATGCAGGGGTGAATGAGTATTAGTAAATACTGGTTTTACTGTACACTTAAACCTGTTCATGTGACCACCTGTGTTAAGAGACCACCTGTTTTAAGAGACCACCTGTGTTAAGAGACCACCTTTAGTGTTCTCCCTTTTAGTGATTTATTGTGAATTGTACCTGTATATAAGGAGACCACTTGTGTTAGTTAAGAGACCACACATAGGACCTGCCATGGGTGGTCTCCTAATATAGTCACTGATGATTGTACTTTAACCCCTTTCACCCCTAAAGTCACATTTGAACCTTACCAGATGAAAGACAGGGCAAGTCCAGTCTAAATATGTAGGGGTGAATAAGTTAAGCATTAAACTGAATTCTCTTGAGAGATATGGTTCTATAAATCTGAACATAGTTGCAGATTAATCTCGTAATGTGTATAAGCATGTTATGAATATTTTATATAGGCCTGAATACAATTTACGTCTATGGTGAAGGAGTTTATAGATTTAACATGGGGCCGCAGTGACCAAGTGGTTAAGGCGGCTGACATTCTGCTACCCCTAGCCCTCCACCGATGGGTCGCGAGTTCGAGGCCTAAGTGAGGCAGTCGCCAGGTACTGGTCGTAGATCGGTGGTTTTCCTCCGGGAACTCCAGCATTCCTCCACCACCAAAACCTGGCATGTCCTTAAGTGAGCATAGCTGTTAATAGGACGTAAAACACAAACAAACCAAACCAAACAATAAATTAATATTTAAAGATTATATTTGTTCTTCAGATTTAAAGTAGATTTTCATTAGATTTGAACAGCCAATAACAAGAATCAGTCCGGTATTTCCGATAATATGATTATGACGTCAATCAAGACCATCATCAGAGAATTTGGTCACATAAATCATGCATAACTGACTTTGGTAGAGTTATGTACTGGCATCATTACAGATTTCATGTAAATACATAAAACAATGCAAAAACAGCTACTTCAACTCATTTACCCCTACAATGTTATATTGGACTTACCCAGTCTTTGATTTAGTAAGACTCCAATGTGACCTTAGGGGTGAATGGGTTAAAATATGTAATAAGGCTTTGGGTGGGGAGGGATTCCTGAAGCCCCTTGAAACCCTTTTGGATAGGCAGTGCCTGTGTTGATAAACTGTTAAGGAAAGTGCAGCATTAAGGAAAGTGCATGCAGTTGATAACAAAAATTGCCATTTTCCTCCTACAAACTTATTTAAGTGAAAAAGAACCCAAACGAGATAAAAATGATATTTTGTTCCTGTAGTAGTAATTGTGATAGCTAGCTGAAATGTTTTTAAGATAAATATCTCGTTGGATGGGTGTGGTTAAATATTATGGTTAGGTTAAAGTTCTGGGTTATGAGATAAATTTATGTAATACTGTGCTTTGTGGAAAACATCACATGCTTCCAGCCATAGGCCTGGATATTCACTTAGCCCCAAAGAGGAACTGTAAAGTTTTGCTGTGTGGGGTACATCCCACAGTAATGCCTGTACACCTGGTCCTGTTAAACACTTATCCCCAGCGAGGGGATTACATCGCAAAAAAAAGATAGACAAGAAAAAAAGCCCATGATAGCTGTTCCCATCATCAGTATTATGAAATATACACAAACTCATTCCCTTTCACTTCATACGCCTGGTCAGATGGAACTTTTGCTGATTTTTTTTTTTTAAAGTTTTCTTGTTGAATTGTACAGTGTTCAACAGATGTTTAAGCCATCTGGCCTGAAATTCAGTCCAGACTGTTATAACATGGTACATCTCCATTGCCATGTAGCTTCTGTAAAAAAATCGTTGTTTATAAATGTTGTTCGTTGTTTTTTCAATTCAGGGAGTTTTGTTATAATTACCTGGTAGAATATGTTTTTTTCATAATATGGTTTAAAAGTTTTGGATATTTTTTTGTGTATAATTTCAGGCTTGCAAGCTCCCGCTTTATTGGAAGGGCCTATTATTTAATGCAGCAGGAGGTGAAAAGAATGGCTTTATCACACAACAATCCTTCAATTCCATGTGGAAAAGGTACACTAATATATTCAAACATGTGCATTCTTATGTAACCATGAAATTGATATTATTGATACAAAATTTACATTTTATATTACAAGTGTATGAATAATTATCTTAGGATGAGGAGTTCCAATCCAAGAGATCCCTGTGGTGTTAATGTTGTAATAATGTGTTAATGGTTTGATGTGAAATTTTGCTGTGTTTATGAACATTTTGTGTTTTGGAAGAAAAAATAAGTTTGCAATGAACATTCAATGTGTAGTGTTAAATTTTGTATGTGTTTCTGTTTCCAGAATATTCCAAACATGTCATGACCGACCGTCCCAGTTTGTAAGACTTTTAGCCAAACCTTCCACTAACTACCTCGACGAGGACGACATAATTCCATTAATCCAGGTAAATATCTTAAAGAATTGTGACAGGACAGCACCGGATTTGAAATCGGACAGGAAAAAATTGACAGTATTCACAGAATTTGATCTCTAGACTTCTGAACTCTGCGATGTCTGAATAAACTGCAGACTTTGAGAAACTTGACTGGTTGGTTGCAATTAGTTTGGTTGGTTGGTTGGTTGGTTGGTTGAAGGGTTTTACGTCTACACTCACTGACGACGTCGGTGTCCTGTCGACGTGAGGGGGTAAGTTGGCACTTACCAGACCCTCGATGATTTTAAGTCCTGCCCATCCAGGTCACGCTCTGAGGTTGGACAGCTCCTCAGATAGTGATAGGCTGTCACCATATTAGGGTCTACTGCTATGTACGCCCATTGATATTGAAACGAGACTGGCTGTTAACTCATTCACCCCTGAATTTTCATTATGAACAATTCCCACCTTTGAAGTGGGAGAGTTCAAATGTGTCTTCAGGGGTGAATGAGTTAAGATAAGCAGTATCATCAAGTAAAAATAGTTTATTATCAATTGGGCACTTCTTGAAATATTTGTTTGTCATTTCTCACAAATGTATGAAAAAAACATCTAGCAATGTATTTTAAGAATATCAGACAGTTGTTTTAAATTTAATTATGTGGAAACAAAAATAGAATATGAAAGAAAAACAGAAATTATAGGGATCTAGCTCACGGCCTATTCAATCTTACACTTAACTAATAGTGCTATTAATTCATTCACCCCTGAAGACACATTTGAATTCTTCCAATTCAAAGATTGGAATAGTTCATAATGAAATTTCAGAGGAATACAATGCCAGAGAAAGTACAAGTAATAAAAACTTATAAATGTTGTTTTATCCTCTATATGTAAGGGAGCATGCTTTGTAAGAGAAGACATTTTTTTATAATTCTAAAAATTCCCAGATTATATTACAGTGACACAATATCCCAATTTCTAAGCCAAAAGCCCTGACTTTGCGAAAAAAACCACCTTTCATCGGTTTACGTTCTCTCTAACATCCTCAAGTGGAGAAATAGATGACCAGCTTGTGTCTCGACTAGTTAGTGTTTAATACTTCCTATTATTGCATTATGTTTCATGTTCCATTTCATTAAACTTCAAATTTTCATAAAACAGCTATTTTCATTTGATGAAATTATTTGGCATGATACCTCTGTTGAGCTGCCAAAACTGATGCGTCACATAATAAAATCATTATTTTACAGAAGTATCGTTTTATCTTGAATCAACGTTATAAGTAGGGTTTAATGGAAGCTATATACTGGACAGTAGACGTAGATACTGTTTTCCTAGGATAAATGGTTGAATACCATTTTAAGTGAACCTGACGGTCTCTGTTTAGTACTAGATAAAACACTGGAGGACCAATTTGGGTTCAATAGACCGTGTCAATTCCCAGCCATCTGGCTGTCAGATCAGATACATTGGGCTCCTAGTTCTGAAAACAAAATGAAGCAAAGTTTGGATAAAATTATATTTTGAGGTTGTATATATTCATAGATGACGGTGTTTGTTAAAAAATTTAATAGAGTTCTGCAATATTTTCTTACATCAATATTTACATTTGCTCTGCATCCTTCCATTGTAATGCACTGCGAAGGCAAATGTTGTCATGAAACTATAACGACATTTGCTATTGTAACGTCATCAATCTCTATTGTAACGTCATCAATCTCTATTGTGACGTCATCAATCTCTATTGTAACATCATCAATCTCTATTGTGACATCATCAATCTATTGTGATGTCATCAATCTCTATTGTAACATCATCAATCTCTATTGTGACGTCATCAATCTCTGTTGTAACATCATCAATCTCTATTGAAAGATCATCAATCTCTATTGTAACGTCATCAATCTCTATTGTGATGTCATCAATCTCTATTGTAACGTCAACAATTTCATTGTTGTCAAAACTCTATTTGCTTTTCAAAAACTGTTCGAAATAACTAAATAAAGCATAACTACTTTCTCAAAATGTAAATATAAATAATGAATATTTTAGCAAATATTGTAACGGTCTTATAACACACATTTCTATTGCTGACAAACGGGCTTTATTAAGTTTGTCATCCATAGCAATGTGTGTTATAGGACCATAACAACATTTGCTAAAACATTCATTGCTTTATGGAAAACAAGAATTCAAACTTTTTTTTAGACTGCTGTTTAAACATAAAGTAACATTTCATTATGTAAAAGATGTTGTTTTGAAGTAGATATTTAAAATAACTATATTGTTAGGATATTACATATATTGTTTTGACCTCTGACCCTTTTGTACAGGATGTGGTTGACACTCACCCCGGTCTGACGTTCTTACAGGAGGCTCCAGAATTCCACTCCAGATATGTAAACACTGTAAGTATAACCTACCAGTCTATACTTGGAGTCAAAGGTCACATTAGCAGGGTCAAAGTTCACATCAACAAGATCTATGTTAAAATGTGTAAGGTCATAGGTCACACCAGTCGGATCTATAATGTCAGATGAATGATATCATGCCACTTCAGTAGGGTCAAATGCCACTCCAATAGGACCAAGGTCACATTGCTGGAATCAAAGGTCATATCATTGGGATCAAAGGTTACATCATTGGAATCAAAGGTTACATCATTGGGATCAAAGGTTACATCATTGGGATCAAAGGTCATATCATTGGGATCAAAGGTCACATCATTGGGATCAAAGGTTACATCATTGGGATCAAAGGTTACATCATTGGGACCAAGGTCACATTGCTGTGATCAAAGGTCACATCATTGGGATCTAATATAAGGTCATATCATGGGGATTTAAGGTCATATCATTGGGATCAAAGGTCACATCGTTGGGATCAAATATTCAAATGTGACATCATTGAGATTCAGTGTGATCTGCCTCTAGATCTCTATCCACAGGAGAAACCTGTTGCGTAATGTTCATGAACAGTAAATTTGTTTACTAATTAATAATATATTTAGAAAATACACGGAAACAAACACATTTATATCATAGATATCTTCTGTGTTACTTTAAATATGTTCTAGAAACTGTATTTTTAAATTTACAGGTGATAGCTAGGATGTTTTACTGTATAAACCGATCCTGGACTGGTCGGATCACTATACCAGAACTAAGGCGAAGTAACTTTTTACAGGTGAGTAAATCTAAGAAATCATAGCTTTAATTATCACAAGTACATACAATCTACATGTGTAAGTTTTGGGGCTGGAGACTTAATCTCTATACTGTTACATTCACACTCGGGAGATAAGCGCTGAGTCATTATATTTCTATATATATTGTGTATCAAGTTATTTATCTACAATTGAGATTTTACAAATTTCTCCGAAAGCCTTCTTATGTGTTTAACCCATTCACCCCTAAAGTTATATTTGAACCTTACCAGATCAAAGATTGGGCAAGTCCAGTTTAAATATGTAAGGGTGAATGAGTTAATTATTTTGTATTTTTAACTACACATGATTGCTTTTGTGAAAGCGTGTGGTATTTTTCGGAAAGTTAACATGCTATTTTTAGTGATATTTAATCTCTTGAATAAAACGAAAATTAGATACTCATGGAAAAAACTGATATATAGCGTAGATATTTCGTTTTTAAATTCAACTTTTTTCTTTAAATGATATTTGAATGCATGCAATTTCTTTAAATGAAAGTGTTTTATATTTCCTGAAGTGATAGAATATGATATGTTATTACTGCACTAGAATTCTACGATAATACAATCCTCTTTGTGTTTCAGACATTAGAACGTTTAGAAGAAGAGGACGATATTAATCAAATCATGGATTTCTTTTCCTACGAACACTTTTATGTTGTGTACTGTAAGTTTTGGGAGCTTGATAAGGATCACGATCTTCTTATAGACAGAAACGACATGATGCGCCATAATGATCATGGTAAGTTGATAATGACGTGCGACTTGATGAAACCTTATACAATGAAACATTAAATTTTGCAGACTAAGGAAAATTACCATAGTCAAATTTAACATATTTTTACGAAAAATGTATTGAAATGAAAGAAGCAGTTTGTTATAAATTATGAAAAGCAAGTTTTTGATTTAAGGTAGAGAGTCCCATCTCTTTTCTACTGTAAACAGGTATTGATAAGTCATTTTCCTGGTATATTTGTTTTATATACAGTATATTCATACAAGAACAATTATTGATAGGTGACCATTGTACGGAGCAAGAATATTTTAAAAGTATTAACAAAGCAAAGATCATGATTTTTTAACACAAATGGCAAGCTTTCTGCTTTGTAAAATTATAGAGGTCTGGCGTTAAAATCCCTGTAGCAAAAAAAAATGGAAAAAAAAAGATGAAGAAAAAATGAAAAAAACCCAAACCAATCCCTGTATTTGTGAAAAAGGAAAATATGAATATTTTTCTTCGATACATAACTCTACAGTAAATGGAAAATGTGAAAGATTTTTTTTTAAAATGGAACTGTTTTCTATTGAGATAGAACAAAAAGCAGTGGGATTCCGTAAACTCCCAGCAAAAAAAATAATTGAGAAAACAACACTCGGATCCATTTTGAATGTTGGATATTATTAACGCTATCTACAGGAATTGTGTCATGACATAATTAAAATTGAATTAATCTGTTATGTATATTTTCGTTTAGAGTTGTTGCCCTTCTTCTAACATTTTCGTTATTAATGTATTTGTAGCCATAGCAACACGGGTGATTGACAGAATATACTCAGGGTGTGTAACAAGGTAAGTGTGCTGTAGTCTGTATTGGGGGATCACGATTGATTCAGCCTTCATTGAGAAACTCACGCGAATTCCAGTTAGATTTTCATTTTGATGATACAGTACATTTCACTTAATATCACGTCGCTTAATGTCACCGTTTTTCCTGCTATATAATCTATGTAATTCAATTCTTTTATTATCACTTGTTTTGATATCATTTTCGCTTTATATCACTTTGTTTTGCCCACTATTTGTCAAAAATAAATAAATTGGTAAATTAGTATAAGAATAATTTATTTATGGCCCCGGCATCTGGTGTCACACCTGGACGCGTTATGTAAACAACATCACGACCTAATGGCGTCTTTTTCACACCTGGCTGACCGCCTAACAAAAGATCGACCCAACTTATCTGTAAGATCCACCAGTTGATATGGCAACCAGTTTTAAGCCTGTTAATATCACATTTTCATCTGACAAATCAGAAGTGATAATAAGCAAAATCTACTGTACTAGTTTCATTGAGATCAGAGAAAATTGAATGAGTTTAGGATTATTTTTATTATATGCTACATAACAGCCAGTTTAATACACAAGTCAAAAGAAAACACTACCAGGTTTGCCTTTACCATGATTTTCGACTTCATCACTATATTGTAACACTATATGTTGTTCCTTATAGTGTTACATTGGGTGATCACTGATTGTGCACATGTCACATAATAAAATATTTTGTGATGGTGCTACAGTGTATATGTACAATTGCATAACAGCTTGAGTGGATGGGTGACACAAATTTGTACAGGGCAACAGGTTGAAAATATCAACTTCAGCACTATTCTGTTTTGTTGCTAGTGTAACAGGAAAGAGAATAGTGTGCTTCCACCAGGGATTGAACCCTCGATCTCCAGGTTCCTAGTCGAATGCTCTACCACTGAGCTAAAGGGGAATTCCCTCTAGCTCGAAGCTAGAAGGCGACCTTAATCCTATGTACAATTAAAATCTGCCACGCTAGAATTTTTAGTTCTTGGAGGAAAGGAAAATAGAAACCATTTAATAAGTCTTCACTGCTTTTGTCAAGTCATCTGATTGCAGTGTTGTTTACTCATATGGTTAAGGAATGCTTTAACTCATTCACCCCTGAAATAGCATAATAAACTATTCCAACCTTTGAATTGGAAGAGTTCAAATGTGTCTTCAGGGGTTAATGAGTTAATCAGTGAAGTACTGGACACCACTTATATTTCCTGAAAAATATTGGCCATATCATTAAAACTGAAAGAGCTGTTTATAAACAAAGTCCCGTAAGAAGTTCCGATCAGGATTGGATAACTGATGTTTTTGTTTTGTTTTTGGCAGAGGTAAGACGTTTAAGGAGGGCAAAATGAGTTATCCCGAGTTTGTGTGGTTCCTGTTGTCGGAGGAGGATAAACGCAACCCCACAAGGTAGGTACCATACACTGTACAAAACTAGTGGGTGTGTCTAGGCCATGGACCTTTCGTGTAAAATGTAGATGTGAATTAATCGTTCTCAGTGTGATATTTAGTAATGTTTCTTATATCAGCAAAAACATTGTCTATAAGGTATTATAGTACATTTTGTTGTGAATACACAGTGTGTATAATAGCAAATGTGTCCGTGTTATCTCTTCGTGATGTTATATGTACTAACAAATATACCCAAAAATTTGATAAGCCTGATTGGAAATATACTGGCATAAGAAAGGTGCTTACAGCGATTTTGAAAATTTTGTTTGTTTGTATTTATGCAATTCTTAAAAAGAAAAGAAAAAGAAAAAAAACAACTTATAAATTCTGCTTATAAGCAACAATGTACAACTGGTTGGAGTAAATGAAATGTATTTGATGCGATACAGATATAAAAAAAAAATTAATATCAGTCAAAATCAAACAGAAATGAGTCAAAGTCTGGAGTCATATTTAGTCATTTTACCGGAAATTGTCAACAAAATAAAATGTAGAAAATGTCAATAATGAAAAGTTAATAATGTCATCTTGCTTCGATAGAGTGACCATACGATTCAATGTTTTCACTACAGTATAGAGTACTGGTTCCGCTGTATGGATCTGGACGGGGATGGTGTTATTTCTATGTATGAGATGGAGTATTTCTACGAGGAACAGATGCAGAAAATGGAGGACATGGGCATCGAAAAACTTCCGTTTGAAGATTGTCTTTGTCAGGTAAACAATAACATCTGATCAATATTATTAATATTTTTGTGATTTTCCTGATAATAATTATTCTGCACAATAAATATGCAACCCAAGATATTAATAGCAAACTTATTGGGGCACTTAGTGTCATGACCACTATATATGAAATTGGAAAAAAATGACCATTTAACAAATCCACAAAAAGTTGGGGCAGCATTATTTTTTTTACAGATTTTAAGAGCTATCTTCATAAGGATCAGTAAGAGAGAGCTGATGGTCACCTAAATGATGAACATATACATTTATTTAAATATTATGGGCGGATTGGCCAAGTGGTTAACAGTCTGGCCTTCCATGTAGGCAAGTGTTTTTCTCCTGCCCAAATAACTCTAATAAACCAGGCGGAATATAAAATGGTCTGGGGTGGGTGTTGTGTTATCTGTGCTGTAGCATTCAAGTGAGGTGGCACTATAAATGATGCGGTTTGTAGCATGGTCCCACTTCAATCAGAACACAATACATTCCAAGCACACGCGCAGGCATGCACACATAGGGAGGTATTAGCCAGGTGGCATAGGACTAGTAGTTTGCACCTTATAAGGCAGGTCCTGGAAATTCCTCAAAATTATATTGATTAATGCATTATTTAGTGTATTTATGGTATTAATTGTATAAATTGGATATCTTTGTACTGTAAAGCACTTTAGAGTGGCTTATTCTAGCTAGATAGGGTGCTATATTAACTGTTGTATATTTATTTATTTAAATGACTTTTATTTGCGAAACGAAATATCAGATGAAAAACTAATCAAATGAACATTAAGTTTGTCATGCAGTTCAACATGATTAATCTTTAAAAAAAAAATTATAATCTAGAAAGTCAGAATGTGAAATTATTTTGAGAATACAAAATGTTGACTTATACAATAATTTTTCAGATGTTGGATTTAGTTCGACCAAAACAGGAGGGGCGAGTGACACTGGCAGACCTTAAGAGCTGTAAAATGACCAATATTTTCTTTGATACATTCTTCAACCTTGACAAATTCCTGGAGCATGAACAAAGGGACCCATTCGCCAATGTTAGGGTAGGTTTTGCCTTTGACAGGGGGCAACAGGGTATATTTTTCTGCTGGCTGAAACACTCCAGAAAACCTCATTTTGAACTAGCATATTCTTAACCTATATAACTGACAAGGACAATATGCTGTTACAAATTAAGTTTTACTGTCAAAGATAAGTGGAGCCATGGAAACAGATATATGTGATATCATAATCACGGTACAATATGCCCCAACTCTAAAAGCATAAAAGGTTATCACATTTTGATTCAAATAATCTGAAGTACCATTTTAGATGTCTTTTTGGGCATTTTTGCAAAATCTGGGTAATTTTGTTATGGATTAATGACTTAACATTCAAGTTGGGGCAGAACTTTATCAATGTTTTCAGGCTGTGCTTTTATTCCAAACCTCATTAATAATCAATTTCATGACATGTTGGGGTCAGTATCCAGGCTTCATATGCAAATGAGAAACTTGTAGACAGTATATCACGGTTATTCAGTCACATACTATTCTAATTGACCAATCAGATGCCATGTTACATCTTTTATCAATTAGAGTTACAAATTAGTGGTGACTTCAGAAGCTGAACACTGATATTATACGATAATTTTGGACTAAATAATTAGTAGCTTAGGTTTGTTAAACTAAGAATTTCATTTCAACTAAAGGATTTGGAGAATGACGGCCCTGATCCTACAGACTGGGAAAAGTACGCTGCAGAGGAATACGAAAACCTTGTGGCAGAGGAAGGGGCTATTGAACAGGAAGAAATGTAAGTGTGGCGCCATCTAGACCATGTCAGGGGGCAGGGGGAGCTAACTCTAGGATAATAATGTCAACTTTTTCATGATTGGGGAACGAATTGAGAGCGAAATCTTTCGAAAATTCCATGAAATTTTCTGTTAGGATAAATCAGGAAAGGGGAAGCATAGGTGTAAGGTATTCTTTAGTTAATTAATTGATACTAATGTATTGTTGTAGTAAATCATTAACCCTTTCACCACTGTAGACCATAATGGACTCGCCCATATCAATGCATGGTAGAGTCTACTAAAGTTACATAGGGGTGAAAGGGTTAATACAATCTATTACCTGTAATTGAGGGAGATCAGCTTATCTTGGTCGACTTTTTGTAATATAATCCTAACAGAGGCGTAAGCCGAGGTTGGGATGTTACAGAATCTTAGCCCGATAGGACAGGACAATGAAATGATGTTTGCTGGCATTTCTATACAGAGCTGAAATAAATATGGTTGGGCTTATTACCAGGCATTGGCTTATTGCCGGATAAATATGATGGATTCCCAAAATAAAAATAATGGTCGAGAAACTATATGTTGTCATGCAATAAATTAATGTTTTAAGCTTGATAAAAAGGATAGACTGTGTTCTCAGTTGATGGACATATATAGATTATAAAATGTTGTCTATTCCATTTCAAAGATTCTTTCTCTTGAATGGGACCCAGAGTAAATATAAGCATTTTAAGAGCAACAAGAAGTATAGACGGTCGTAAAAGGTATGGTCATGTATTTATATCTGGGTCCGCCTGCGGAAACAGTTATGTAATCTTGTATATGGGAGTGGATTTGCCCCGTTTCCCAATACAGGTTTACCACATTATTTGCCTGTAGGGGTGACAGGTAGCCATATAAGGTCAAGGGTCACCTACATGTTGTAACCAGGATTCGGGGGCCAGGAAATGATGATAAATGCATGTTGTAAAGCCAAATAAAAAGAATGTGTTTCCCATTACGCTTTCTCTGTAATTTAACTTATTCACCCCTGAAGACACATTTGAACTCTTCCAATTCAAAGGTGGGAATAGTTCATTATAGCATTTCAGGGGGTGAATGAGTTATTATACTTACCTTCAAGTTTTTGAAATCATTTTCAATTCACTAAAATGTTGAATGTTCTAAAATGAAGTTTTTGAGAGAGAACAAATTCTACACAAAATATGCATCTACCTATCCCAGTTTTACAAACAATTTAATAGGAAACAGATTTATTTTACTTGGCCTTCGCATGATATTAAGTATATAGGTTTGCCTGCTAGTGTGTTGACATGAGGTTTGGTTGTTAGTGTAAAACAGATATGCTTGCCAGTGTTAGGTTGTACACAGATCAATATAATCAGAAGTCTGCTATTACGGACACATTATCAAAATCACTTTAAATTAACGTAAAATTTTCATTTTGCAGATTTGTTAATTTTATTGCTTATAAAGAAAATATGCAAAATAAAAAAAAATAAAAAAATAAAAAAATGCCAGAATTAAGGAAACCTTGGATATTTTTATCTGAATATATAAGTTTAAACACACAAATATGTTTTACCTTAGTCACATACTGTAATTGCTTTACAGGGTACTTTCATGTTTAGTGAAACGTTTTTTTATACTGTGTACTGTATACCGGTAGGTTATAGTTCTTTTAAAGAAGTTATGAAAGTTAAAAAAATATTCTCGTAACCTAGCAAATAGCATGACTGATAGTGCAGAGGATAAGCTGCATGCTGTATAATCTAAGAGATATAGGGAACTAATACCTGTGACAATGAAGATGCTTGTGCGAATAAAGTAATTTTAATTTTTACCCAATAAACTTCTTCCATATTTAACACTTTTCTATACTAATTAGATTAGCAATGAAAACAAAGATATCAAAATGTAACTCTTCTGTGTGGAGATACAACACAAAGAACTGGGACTCTTTAACTTAAATACATCCTGCAGAATTTAACCCTTTCACCCCTGTGTAACTTGAGTGAACTCTGCCATGCGTTAATTTGGATGAGTCCATTATGGTCCACAGTGGTGAAAGGGTTAAGCTATCGGGGTACATTGTATTTGGTTTTGTGACTTTTGATTGGGTTTATAAACATGTTTTTTTTATGTGAACAAAGGATCCCTTATGTCTCTAAGGTCAGGTTTCACTGATAAAAAATATTTACGTAAATATATTAACTTATCAGTGTTTGTAAAGTTAGCATTGGAATGAAAATCACAGAACACATGTCTACACCAAGTTTCCTTTTCAATGTCCCTATCACTTTCGTCACATTTTTCACAAGCAGCTGGGGACCGTGTCCGGACGATTTCTACTAGGTATTATTGTGTTGTAGATTCTGTCTGCACTTCTCGTCTGTGTTGTACTCCTTCCCACTTTTACTTGCATGGAGTCCAGACAAAACTTTGGTTTTTCGGTGCTTCGTGAATTTTTTTGATAGGTTATTTATTCAAAATATTGAAAAGATTCTTTTTCAGATTGACTTAATATATGTTTAACCCTTTTACCACTGTGGACCATAATGAACTCATCCAGATAAATGTATGGTAGAGTCTACTAAAGTTACCTAGGGGTGAAAGGGTTAAAATGAGAATTACTTCAGAGTCCCCTGTTTTCAGATGAGCATTTTAAATACAAAGCATATATACGTTTTTCAAGGACTCTGGATATCCTTTTAAAAAGAAATCATTTAAAATCATTAATGAAGTGTTAAACAGCTTTGCACTGTGAGTGCATATTATAAATAAAACAAAAATGTTTTTCTTCAGAAAAATAATTCCTTTTCGAGCTTGCCATGTTTTTACTGACTCATCAATACGTTAGTGAATGAAAACTGCTCTAAAGAAAACAAAATGTGCTTGTTGAGAAAAAGATCATTTGTTTACATTTACTGCATTTTCATTCCTATTCATAGATGAATATTTTCAGCCTTTTTGAGTACTTTGTTGTAATGCAAATTTCTAATTTTTCCCATAGCAAGATTAAAAAATCTAATTTTCAGGATTTGTCCATAAGCCTATTTTCATCTGTACATTTGTCTGAAAGAGCTGTGTTATATGTAGTTGCTGTTATGTCTCTGTATAAAACGTATTAAATCAGGCTATATAACAGTAGTCCTATACTAAAACTGAACACCTCTACGCCTTCTGATAACCTTTGTCTTGGTAAATTGCAAGAAAGCGCTTGAAAACTAGTGGAATTTTGTCCTGAAAAAGCTGTATGAACTATATGGTCCATGCAAATTCTCTGTTACTAACTAACAGTGGTATTCCAGCCTTCTTATCGGTTTGAACTCGTACAGATTTACTTACATACTTGCGTGCCAACGGATTGTTCTTTCTTAACTGTGTAAATGTAACATATATCTCTTTTACTTCACTGTCGGAGCTTGCTTCCAAGGTAAATGTTGGATTCATTGTCAGATCTCTTCTGTGTTGGCCCTAACATGTCACACACTGGTAGCCATTTTTCTTACTGTCTTAATGGGAAGTTTTGTGCCTCTTTCTTCTTCTATAAGGAATGGCATTGGTAAACACAAATGGTGCTATATTTTCCGTTAGTTGTTGCAATGGTAATCAAAAAAATTCTGTCACTGTCTGAAATTTTCCCTCATAACTATTGCAACTGTAGAAAGTACCGGTATTGTAAATGTAAGTTATTGAAATATTCTTAATCAGGACTTTTCGGATTGGGCAAGACATTTTACACATATATAATCAAATAACATATTTCATGGGTAAAATTGACAATTGTTACATTATACATTGAACTCTGTGTCTCCATGTCGGGGAATTGAAGATGCTGGACTGTTGATTTCCAGGTTATGAAGTATCCCTGTGCTTTTGTTGTATGCATGTACATTAGAAAAGGGGAGACAACTGTGTGGAGTATAAGTTTTAAACTTAGCTCTCAAAAGGTTGGTAAAATCTTACTAAATAGTTTCACCACTAATGCAAGTTGGAAAGCTGGGGAGTGTCAACTTAGCTGTCACTGACTCATTGACGGGGTAACCCTTCTGTGATGTCACATGTCTGTGATGTCACATGTCTGCGAGGCCCTCCTTTATCATAGATAAGCGTTGTGTTTGTTGTTCTTTACCAATGGTATACCTATATTTATGTCGTTACTACATACATACACTATACTTGTTTTAGAACTTTTTTTACAAGAGGTGCATGTTTATGTTTTTTCTCTCTCTCTCCTCATTCAATTTTGATATTGCTGACGTATTTACAGAAATGAATATTTGAAGGTTCAGAGAATGCTAAAATACTGGATATGGTTCTAATCACATGCCCATTCAGAAATTGTAGTAAAATAAGTCCAATTTCCAAAAATTAAGGAAGAAAGTTTTCGAATAAATGACAAACATCATAATTATATGAATCCATGTTTAGAGTTAGTTACTGTGCAGTGAGAATTTCCATCAGAATGCCTGTATAAGAGCATTAACTGCTTGTGTGATTTTGACATCAATGCTTTCAATATTTACCGTGAAGTTGGTAGAGTAAGTTATCATCTTGTTGTCTGACTGAGATTTTGTTGTACTTTCAGACTGTATGAGGATGATTTTGAGCCAGACGATGACGAGATTGTACAGAAGGAGCGGGCAAACCTGGAACTCGAAATGCACCGGAACTCTCCTGTGTCACGAGGGAAAATAGGCATAAAGAGTACAAACGACGATATCTATGATTTCAGTACAAATGATCTTGGATATTAGCCGTAGTTATTACTACAATAGAAAATTCATGCTTGAACCTTGGTCGTAAGTTCTCAAAATATTGGTTACATTTCTGGTGACTTCTGATCAACAAACCAATATTAGCTCAAAGGAATAAAAAATACTGTGGGTGACAATGTTACAAAGACTGTGATTGGTCAGAACACTTTGAGAGTGACACCCACAAGTGTTACAATGATGGTGATTGGTCAGGATGTAGTAGGAGAATAAAACCAGAAATGATAAGATGGCTGGTGAGGATAGTGAGAGTGGACATGTTCTTACATTACTATGATAAATAGAAAGTGTTTATGGCTGTTCGGTGTGGTGATATAATAAGGTTTGTGATTGGAAGGATTAGTGTAAGCACTTTATTGACTGCACCAGAAATGATACAAGTATTGTGATTGGACAGGAGGGATTGAACAGATGATTTACTGCACCAGAAATGACACAAGGATTATGATAAGACAGGAAGGCTTTTTGACTGTACTTTGCAGAAATGGTTCAAGGATTGTGATTGGTTGAGAAAGATACATACTGACAACTTAATATACTAGAGGTGAAAATTGACACTGAAGTGTAAAATCATTTGCCAAATTATGATGGCTATATTATCTCGAACCATTCTAGTGAGGAACAGGTACAGGTCAGGTCACTGCATATTATTGCTAAATATAAATAATCTGTTTTATCAACACTCAATGGATTGAACTTGTGGCTGTAATTAATGGAATTTTCATGAAATGCATGTACATCTGTATATATAATTTATTAGTGTACAGAATGTTTTTGTTCATGTACGTGTGTATGTGAATGTTATTTGGATAACAACTTTTTTAAAGAAATTATCCAACTGGTTTAATCGTTTAGGCGTTGATTAAATTTAATCCTTATTGTATAAAAATTAACAGAATTTTCATTTAGCATCAGGGTTCAAATAAAGTGTGTACATGCTGAAAAGGTACGAGTCGGTTTCACATTTTAGAACTAAGCGGTAGAAAAGGAAAGAATTATTTGTGTTTTCTCTGTCGGTGAAAATTACAAAAGTTTAATAAGCAATGGAAGTACTACATGACAGGAGAAAAACCAAAACCTGTCAATCAGACTTCGAAATCTACACATTTTTTGTATTTATATGATTTAATAAAAAAAACACCACATTATGAATGACAAAACTAATTGCAAAGTTTATGTACAAATGATTTTACTGATATGGTGTCCGTCCGCATTTTTGTTAACAGTTATGTACATATGGCATCAGAATTCATTTCCAACAATATATACATATTGTACTACAGGTTTGTGCCTTTTTCATGATGTCATTTGTTATAATGATATAGTTATAATAATGTTGTGTGATTTTGTTTTTACATACATTTGTATATCTAGAACATTTCCTGTGGTGTCATCATTTCTTAATCGCATAAATGGTAAATTGGGAAGGGAGATCTAGAACTTCAAAATTAGCTTACCTCTAAACACGGAGTATGAACAGTCCCATTCCAAAGTTATTTCTTTTCTTTTATATTTAAAGGTTTTGTTTCTAGTGAATATTTTTTTTTCCAAATTTGATTGAAACACTACTGAAAAGAAAAAGAAAAAAATCGAAAAATGCATTGTGAAAGAAAAAAAATCGGAATATTTCTTTAAAAAGATTTTCATGATATTCCTGGTTGATAAGGCATGATGAGTCAATCTCAAAATAAATTTTAAGTGGTTAAAAAAAATTGGTGTAACAAAACTAATTTATTATGAATCATTTGTCACATCCCGAAAACGGTTAACAGGAAGAACTGAAAATATTGCAAGAGAAAAAATTGAGACAAAAAGTCACAATTATTTGCTGTGGTGATTTAGAGCATTATCACTGAAATGTATGAAATATAGAGGAGAAGATATGCTTATGGCATGAAGCAATAGATGTTGGACTGTCACTGGTATTATATATTTATAGTGCTATGATGACTGAAGAATGATGAGAACTTGTAATATATTGACTGGAAGTACAGATACTAGTGAGAATGACTGTATTATAACTGTTGTGTGTGTAGCTAGGCAATACATAGGGTAGTTCCAAGTTATCTCCCTTGTAACACTCCTCTCCTTGAGCAATTTGGCCAAGACTCTTTTTTTGATTCAATGTAGTTCCGTTATCATGTGTAGTTACAAGATACCTGTAGATTTATTTTTGTAAAATGTTATAAGTTGAAAGCTTGTGTTATTTAAAGTACTGGTATTTCTTGATTTCTACCTGTAGTGATTTAAAGCCTTTAAATAATTCTGTGCTCTAATGATCTTGTAGTAAAAACAGTTTTTAAGAAACATATTATGGAATATATAATTATAAAAGATATATTTATGTTTTCTTCGTGGAGGTCGCTGCCAAATCGATACATGAATGATCCATTTCAAGGTTGGGCCGAACCAGCCACCATATTGAAAACCTTCAGATCAATTTTAAAGGTCATACTTTTTCCCCCCAGAAAATACATATTATGGCAATTAAGGTGGGGTTGGTAAATGGTGTCTCTGGAAAATTTGCTATAAAACGAATGTCAGATATATATCACCCAATGCCATCACCATCAAAGTGGTTCATAGATGAATCTAGTCAGTGACTAGGGAACATTTCTATTGTGTGAGTAAGTCATTTAAAAAAAAATACAAAATTTAGTATTATATCAGTATCATGCTGTGTTAGTTAGCGTTTGAAAGGGGAAATAAAATAGGCTAGTGATCCTTTGAATTTATTTCAATCAAGAATGTTCATTTCTCATCATGGAGACGTGGAATCTCCATGAGTCGTAGACTTCCGGTGTTGCCTTTCGCTATATAGCATGTGGTGCTACTTACAAACCTTATATTACCACCCAGCGGACATTAGCTCATGCAACTCTCTCCATGAATCCATGGAAATGTTTGAGTATTTTATTCGTTGCCTACCAACAGGTGTTCCATCATTAAAATATTTTCACAGAATTCTCCGACATATTTGTAGATTTAGGTTTTTACTTTCTTTGGTGTTAAAAAAACACCTATTACTATGAAGTCTGTACAGCACAAGAATGAATCTAGTAAGAATTTTCCTGGGCGCAGATAAAAAAACAGAAAATGAGGAGGGCACTATTATTGCAGGACAGTTTCATGAGTAATATGCTGATTGATTTTTCAATGTTTTCAAGAAGTTGAAATTAATTCATTTTAAATAAGTGTCACCTTGTTACAATTTATTAACAACTTTTGCCTTTTGTCATACACCAAGTAAGTCTTCAGATATTAAATCTTGTAAATATATATTTATATATATATAGAAGTATGTGTCAATGAGTTGTGGCCTGTATTTTGTCTAACACCAACAAAGTCTTCAAACATTGATATGCAGATTGGTAAATACTATGTAGAGAAATCATTATCATGACTTGCCTTTTCTTAATTCTGACTTTTGTTCGTTGGAGAAATTGTTGTTTTGTGTGAAACGTAGCTACAGCCTTTTTGAGTACTAAATTATGCATGGGGTGTCTTCAAAACCGAAAAATATTTTCGAATGTTTCAAATGAGCATAAAATGTCAGGTTATCTATTAAATTCTGTGGTCTGTATTTTCAATTTTCAATTTTAAAATACTTAAATGACGTTATAAGTTAATAAATTCTGTATGTTTAATATGGTTATTGATAAAGTAGATGGGGAACATTTTCCTGATTGAACACAACCCAGGAAAGCTAGTGGCCATGAAGATTCAATCAATCTAATTTTTTCAACTTTATTTTTTTTATTGAAATTTGTAATTAAATACCTAAATCAATTAACAACATTGAAGTTAAAATACATTACTGTTTGTGCCTACATTTTTTGTATCAGCAAGGCAAGTGTATATGGTGATTTGAGAGTGTGTTATCATTATGTAGATGGTGAAACAAGCTTAGAGTTACCTCCCTTGGTTACTATTTTTGTCATAGAAATGTTAATGTCTATTTATTACCAAGTAGGTTTTTAATTTATTTTGTTCACTTTTTGAGAGCATATCTTAGTTCAGAGATTCAAGTGCTTTTGTACAATTAAAGCTTTTAGGTCTGTGATAACATAAGTTGATTGTACTGCACTAGAGCATTGCTTTGAGTTATTGGAGTTATCGGAACAATTTGTGGTTCTCCTAATTTGTTTTGTTATATGCCTTACTCCGAATCGTTTTTGTTGACAGCTGTTTGCCAAATATTGTAATGTAATTCTAATGAACCTATTTCAAAAATTCAGCTCAGAATTCAACCTCAAATTTTTCATCTTTATTATTTTTAATTCAATCTTTACACAGTATTTCAAGTGTTAGTGATGTAATTAACATGTCTGTTGTGAATATAGCTCATGTGTGACTTTATAACAGAAATTCCTGTGTTTGTTACAATTATAACCTAGCTAAACTTATGTTTGTATCAGTTAATAAGATAATCTCTAATGTTTATGATAGTTACTGAAGAGAATCTCGTGTTTGAAACAGTTTTTGCAGAAAAGTTCTTGAGTATGTAATTTACCACAGAGAATCTCTTATGTTTGTGAGTAACTAAAGGGAATATCTCATATTGGTAATTTACCACAGAGAATCTCTTGTGTTTGTGAGTAACTAAAGGCAATCTCTCATATTGGTAATTTACCACAGAGAATCTCTAGTGTTTGTGAGTAACTATATTATAAAGGGAATCTCTCATATTGGTAATTTACCACAGAGAATCTCTTGTGTTTGTGAGTAAAGAGAATCTCTCATATTGGTAATTTACCACAGAGAATCTCTTGTGATTGTGACGGTTACTTAAGAGAATGTCTCTTGTGTTTGAGTGTGGAATATTAGACTGTTGAATTAACTCATTCACCCCTACATTTTTAAATTGGACTTACCCAGTCTTTGATATGGTAAGGTTCAAATGTGACTTAAGGGGTGAATGGGTTAATAAGAACAGGAAGTAGCATTTTGTCTTGTTAACTTATTATAACAAATCATTATTTACCATGATGTTCTGGTACATAGAGATGTTTGTGAAATATTGACTAATTTTAATTAACATTTTAAGTAATTTTAGTTGAGTTTAAAGTAATGTTACAGTAACAAAACCTCTCCAGATCATTTGTGTATATGTTATTTTACAATATATTTGACTTGCTCAAAACCACCAATATTTTATCAAAGACAGATTCTGTTAAAAATTAGATATTCTTCATATGTCTTTATGCAGCTTACAATTGAAAAGAAATTTAACCACATATTCTTCCACTGTGTCGCACTGTCTGTGTAGACATTGGATGGCTTGCGATTATCAATGCAGAACTGATTTTTCACAGATCATACATCAAAATGCTTCATTAAATTGCGTGTTCAAATAATTGGTTACTAGTTTGATGTTCTCATTAAATGAGACCAATACAAGACTCCAGTGTTTGTTGTTTATGACAATACAAGACTCCACTGTTTGTTGTTAATGACAATACAATACTCCAGTGTTTGTTGTTAATGACAATACAAGACTCCAGTGTTTGTTGTTTATGCCAATACAAGACTCCAGTGTTTGTTGTTTATTACAATAAAAGACTCCAGTTTTTGTTGTTTATGACAATACAAGACTCCAGCGTTTGTTGTTTATGACAATACAAGACTCCACTGTTTGTTGTTAATGACAATACAACATTCCAGTGTTTGTTGTTAATGACAATACAATACTCCAGTGTTTGTTGTTTATGACAATCCAAGACTCCAGTGTTTGTTGTTTATGAGATACAAGACTCCACTGTTTGTTGTTTATGTGATACAAGACTTTAGTGTTTGTTGTTTATGACAGTACAAGACTCCAGTGTTTGTTGTTTATTACAATAAAAGACTCCAGTTTTTGTTGTTTATGACAATACAAGACTCCAGCGTTTGTTGTTTATGACAATACAAGACTTCAGTGTTTGTTGTTTATGACAATACAAGACCCCAGTGTTTGTTGTTTATGACAATACATCACTCCAGTGTTTGCTGTTTATGTGATACAAGACTCCAGTGTTTGTTGTTTATTACAATAAAAGACTCCAGTTTTTGTTGTTTATGACAATACAAGACTCCAGCGTTTGTTGTTTATGACAATACAAGACTTCAGTGTTTGTTGTTTATGTGATACAAGACTCTGGTGTTTGTTGTTTATGTGATACAAGACTCTAGAAAGTGTTTGTTGTTTATGACAACACAAGACTCCGGTGTTTGTTGTGTATGAGATAAAAGACTCCAGTGTTTGTTGTTTATGTGGCACAAGACTCCCGTGTTTGTTGTTTATGACAATACAAGACTCCAGTGTTTGTTTATGAGACAATCCTCAGGCTTGCTGCTCCTACAGCTCCTCATATAAAACTCATCGTTGGTTTTGTTTAGTTTGTGTGCCTTACATTCTGTTTACAGCTATGGTCATTTAAGGACGTGCCAAGTTTTGATGGTAGGGAAACCAGAGTACCTGGAGAAAACCACCGACCTGTGGCTAGTACATGTACTTGGTGACTGCCCCACAATGGCCTCAAACCCGTGACCTAGTGGTCAAATACCTTAATCACTCTGCCACTGTGGCTGCACCCCTCCCATCGTCTGTAATGAGATTCAGTAGTCTGGTACATACATGGGAAGTCTCCCTATATTTTACAGTAAAAACTTCTGAAGAACCAGAATATTTCTGTGGGGGAAAAATCTCCCTTCCAAAAGTTTGATCTCCGTACCTGTGGGGGGAAAAAATCACCTATCCTGAAATTATTTGTTATGGCTGGCATTTCCTAGAACTGATTGGAACAAGATGGAAAAATGAAGTAACAAGTTCAAAATTTTAAAATAATTTATTACAGTTATAATGTTAACATATGGTTTGTGAAGTTACATACCTACTGAACTATAAATGTTACTGACTGCTGTATAATACAGCATCTGTAGTAAGTATGTGGAAGAGAAACACGTGGTATTGTTGTACAAAGTATTACAGCTTTATACAATGTTATAGCATTGTACACTAGTATTACAATGTTGTACTGCTGTATTACAGAATGGTACTATATTACTACAATATTGTACTATGTTATTACAGAACTGCACAGTGTTTTAAAATTGTAGTTTTACATTTTGTAGTGTTATAGCATTGTACTCTGCCAAGTTCAGCTGTATGTTAGTGTTATAAGCCTTATTACAGCATGTATTGTTATAGCATTGTACTTTACTTAGTCCAGCTGTATCTTAGTTTTATAAGCCTTATTACAGCATGTAGTGTTACAGCATTGTACTTTACTTAGTCCAGCTGTATCTTAGTTATATAAGCCTTATTACAGCATGTAGTGTTACAGCATTGTACTTTGCTAAGTTCAACTGTATCTTAGTGTTACAAGCCTTATTACAGCATGTACAAAAGTGTTACAAGCCTTATTACAGCATGTACAAAGTGTTACAGCATTGTACTTTACTAAGTTCAGCTGTATCTTAGTGTTATAAGCCTTTTTACAGCATGTACAAAGTGTTACAGCATGTACAAAGTGTTACAGCATGTACAAAGTGTTACAGCATTGTACATGTCTATGAAATGAAATCCAACAGTTACCCTCCAATATCACATATCTTCTCATTCCCATTGATTCTGTCATAACATAATTAAGGTCACTGTATGCACCACTTCACAGAGGATAGCGTTGACTTGTCCTGTAGAGCTGCGATCTCAGAGTAATGCTTGGATTAAAGATAGAAATTAATGATGCTGCAGCGTAGTGACAAAATTGACTGGGTTTAATCTCAGATTCACTCTCTTTGATAACATGCAAAGCACATGTACCACTGTCACTATGATTGATCAGTTTTTGATGCCTGGAACCAAATAGCTAACTACATGTGAGCCTTAGATAATTGATTTATGTTTAAATTTTATTCATTTTACAAAAAGTATGAAACAAGTTTTTCCATTTTATTTTAATTCCTCCTGTTGGTTTAGTCTTAGTGTAAGAGGAGATGGGAGTATCTTGAGAAAACTCCTATGGTCAGGCAGGTGATCCAATCCTTCTCGCATCTGATTGAGGAATCAAACCCTGGCGGTCTTGGTGAATATGCTACTTAATGCCCACCAGACCATATTGATAATCAATTTTTCGAATAATATATTCAGAGGGTGCAGAGTACATATGTGATATTAAGAACGAAACCCCTGGAATATGAAGACGCATTGTTTAGTGTTGAAGCATTATGCAGAACGGGAAAAGTGGCGAGAAACAAACATTGCATAAAACATGAGATAAGCTATGTTGATTATCGCATACAGAACAGGGATAATGAAATCTTGATTTTGCGTCAGATTCAACTTCTATACAGAATTTGTTTGACAACAAAAATGAGTTGTTTTTAAACAAAATTGGAACAAACAAACTCCTTTCTACTTGTATACATTGTACCTGATAAATCGTGGAAGCGGCATGTTTAGATAAATTTGCCTCCAGGATGAGACGATGCAGGTCAACTGTCGAGACATAATAAAACGGTTGCATATGAATGTAGTGTATATATTACTTCGGTACAGACATAACTAATAGCGTAGCCACTCAAAACACAACCAGCAACTCATAATTCACACAGCAAGTCAGTAACAACGGCCAGCGTAAATATTTCATACAAATAAGTGACAGCTTATAAAAAATGCCAACGAAAATGTCTGATTATGTCGAGACAAACATGTGTATTTGATAAAAATACTGGGTAACAAACTCTCTTAGCTAATTCTCTTCCATGACAAACAAGTATACTAGCGTAGATCATTCAGTGGCATCCATAAAAACTACTTCTCTAGAAAGTAACTTTTTAATGAAATTTTACTTTGTTAACAACAAAATTAATGAACCACTGACATATTTTTACTTTAAAATACACTTTCAGCAAAGAAATGTACATCTAATAAGAATGTCACACTTGACCTCTAACCCCACAAAATCTTTCACAAATGACCTCTTACTCATATCCAATCAGAATATCACATATGACCTCTAACCCCACTCAAGCTGAATTAAAAGTTTGCACACAATAGGCTAAACTTTGTGATAATAATACAGTTTAAAATAGAAGTATCACTTCTAGTTGATAAAATCAATATAGATATTGAGTAAATAACAGATTTAGAATGTACTTTGAATATTGACAGTTTTATGATTTCATGACCACACTTGTTTCATTCAAGTGTGCAACCAAGTAAACATTTCAAAATACAATGTATCTCCTATGACAAGTTTACATACCTTGCCATTATATATATAATTAGGTTCCAATTAAGGTAGTTAGTCCCATTGCTCTATGTTTTATCTCCAATAGAGAAGAATTCCAAATTGAATTTGGAGTTTCTTGCATATTTACTCAGGGAAAGTGTGCGTTATAATTTCAAAAAATACTTAATATCTGAGCAATGGTGATCAGTTATCTGGGACTCTTGACTATAAAGCAGGCAGATTTCCACTGCACTGTTGTTATCATATTTTTATGTTTATACAACATTACTGTGAGCAATTTTTGAAATGTTCTAACTCCTTAAAAAAACCTGCAATCTATAAAGTCTTTCTAGAGATGTTGAGGAATTCCAAAGGGAAATAGTTTTTAAACACATGCATACAGCAGAAAGTGGAGGGGCTCTCAATCGTAAAACGGGGTCAAAGTTCAAAGGTAACATTACCAGCTCTACTAGCAAGGTCACCACCACACACGTGCTATAGTACATAGTTTATATCACAGTTTATTCATGAAAATACAAGTAACCTGTACAATATGACAAACTGACCCTTGTTATATAATTTAATCACATGTGAATTCTTTCGTTATGAATTAATTCTTGCTGAAAGGATCATGGGCAAATATCTGCATGATATTGATGCGAGAAACCACTGCAAAAAATTAGTAAGAAAATAACCGCTCTTACTTAACCCTTTCACCACTGTAGACCATAATGGACTCTTCCATATCAATGCATTGTAGAGCCTACTTAAGTTACATAGGGGTAAAAAGGTTAATCCTTAAATATGTGTGGCTACAGAAATTTTGTGTGACTGATTCAATGGAAAAGACCTGCTATAGAAAGACTTTGTTCATCCATCTGCATTTAAAATTGAATGAGGGCAACGTTGACGCGTTTCATAGAATGTTATAGGTTAAGAAAAAAACGTTAAAAAATATTATTTTGCAGTAGCATCGTACACTATTATCACACTTTTGACACTATCAAACCATCATAAAATGATTAAATCAGGTTTCGATCAGCCATCACACCTACACTATTTGAAAATTTGATGTGACAAACAAAACTAATGCCAACCTCTGAAAAAGACGTCTTTCAGTTAGTGTACAATTTAGAGTCAACAATTCACGCGGATTTATATCTACATTTGCACCCAATTTCATTCTTCAATCTAACATACAACATATATATTACTCTCCCTGGCCAAGCCAAGCACTGCTTTATTTAGCTAGTCTGGGGAGTTTGATTTTATGTCTTGTATTAGGATAAATCACATAGCTTTTGTCTTTGTCTGATTCTTTCCCGATATTCGTAGATCACAGAATCCGACTCACAGGCCTAAGATGGCCAATTACGCACCACTACTGACTTAGAATGGTCCCATACATACAAATGTACTGTGTAATCCTCCACTTGGTACAAATGCCTTAAACATGGGACTCTCCATACCCACTACACAGCACTATATACTCCCAATGAAACCATGGCTTCCTCGATATCTTGAGTTTTCCTGGAAACATCCGAATATTGGTATTTTCATATTATATATAGTTTGGAGCTGGTATCGTGGGTCAGTTAATGTCTGTATACAATTTATGTAGTAAATGTATGTCAGTCTCTGTGTTCAAGTTTACACATTGCATGTGGCTTAACTTTGATCTGTCTATTGCAGTCCTATGCCACGATAGGCTACTGGCATTTGCTGTAGTCACTTTGTTAAGGTTGTTTGTAATTACTGTAATTACTGACAGTAATCATGTAATTACAAAGAGTATTTACAGTTAGTGGTCTGTACACTAAACAGACCATGAGCCGTACACACCTGGAGATTGACACACCTGGAATCTAATCTGCACGCTAGCATTCCACAGAAATGGCATTCACAGCAGTATAAGCCAGCATTCCAGGCTGAAAGCTACATGTTAACTGATGGTCAAGCACAGTAATTCTTTTTCAGCTGGACAGTGGTCACTGTGATGGACATTGCCTGTTTCCAGGTTTGTTGTAAGCAGGTGTTGGCCAGTCTGGAAGACTATGGAATTTTGGAATGGATTTCGGGACATACTCCACAACACTACAGCGAAACCTCCTGTCAAGATCGTTTAGAGTTACTTCCCTTCTTCCCAGGCTGTGTGTTGAATTTCTTAGCTTTGTCTTCGGCTCTCCTGAAAATATTCAGATTCATCTTAATGCTTGACAATGACAACCGTCAGAGTATTCCGTCTTTGCGTATTGCAGAGTTATCTTCTCTTGTGAGCAGGTAATGATTGTTTTGTCATTGGTTTGTGTGAGAACATTACGTCGTTTTCTCAAAAATTGATGACATTACTCTAAAAAACAAATGACGTAACAATCAATCCCTGCTCACAAGAGAAGATAACTCTGCAATACGCAAAGACAGAATAGTACATTTCCTGCGTAAATGAATGTATATCCAATTTTATTTTAGAAGACTTGTGACACAGACTCCAATAGTAGAACATTTTCAATAAATCAAGATGGAAACAAACTTTTATATACGGACGTACACATATTTATAAACTTTGATATACTGAACTGCTCCCCGCTCTACTGTTTATAGTATTGAGAGATAAAACATCTGAAGGGAGTTTCTCACACAGGATTAAATGGAGAAATAATCTGATTTTTTATCTCTGACCCAATAAATTATATCAATTCCTGGTTACATTTGAAACTCTTCTTTAACAGCATACAACATCAGCTGGTACAGAGGAACCTGCCTTTACTGACACTATTTTGTATATATATAGCGAAACCTTTTTAACCCAACACCCTGTGAGATATCCAAACATTGGTGGGATTAGACAGAGTGTCAGTATAGACAGGTTCACTTTGGAAAATCTTTCAAGAAATGGGCTTACAGAAAAGGCTAAGTTTGTTATGAACACAATGTGGAAATGGAAACTTATTTTGCAAGCTTTCGAAAACGTCTTTTGCATTTGTCAAGCAAAGAGTACTCTTGGGCACTCTTTGCTTGACAAAGGAAACAGACGTTTTCGAAAACTTACAAAATTCCTATTTGTATTCAAAACAAACTTAGCATTTATCATACATACCAAACTGATGAGCTTCATTCTAAATAGGCGATTACAACAGTATAATACACATGAAAGATGTCAGAATACTCAGGGATCAGATTAGACAGGTTTAGCTGTGTAATTTTCGGCAGTAAAGTCAAAAGACAGATTCTCAAGTTTTAAAAATTACGTTCAGACTTCATCGTGTCAGTCATGGTTATACCTTGTGAGATCCTCGATGTCCACCAACATGGAATCCTGGCTCATGTGTAGCTCGTCACGCTCCATTAGAAGGCGCACCAGATCCTCATTCAGCTCTGTAAAATCAACACCCAATGGTCACTAGGATTTTCATTAAGAACAGGAGACAGGACAAAATATCTAACAGGACAAAATATCTAACAGGAGACAGGACAAAATGACTGGTGCAGTCCTGATTTTTGGTGTGTTGGCATTATACCTTGTGCTAATAGGTTTTATGTAAAAGTTTTGCAGGTTAAAAAGGTCATTTGGCCTGTTCTAATAAAAGTTACTGAAAAACACATTTGTTCAAGGTTCCAGAGGCCTGAGGCCACTTCACAAGCATTTAATCAAGGCAATGAAATTTGGTAAAAATCAAGATAATAGACGGAGATCACCGAACAATTACTGACTCAAGGTCACTATACAGTCAGTGGCTTAATGACCTCTATTGGTATAATTAGGTCAAGGTGATTGTAACTGACCCATATTCAGCATATTTGGCTCAAAGTCACTATACAGTCATTTACCAAACGACCTCTATTGGTGTAATTAGGTCAAGGTGATTGTAAGTTGATATAATTAGGTAAAGATGACTAATTAAGTCAAGGTGATTGTAACTGACCCATATTCAGCATATTTGGCTAAAAGTCACTATACAGTCATTGACCAAATGACCCCTATTGATATAATTAGGTCAAGGTGATTGTAACTGACTCATCGTCAGCATGTTTGGCTCAAAATCACTCCAACATTGACTCAATTAAGTTAACTCTAATGTACCCTTGTTTATCAAGATCTGTATCCCTGACTCAGTGTCACCATCTCTGACACAAAGTGGCACTCACGATCAGACTGTTTCTTACTTTCTATCTGTGAATGAAGGTCGTTGACAAGAACTTGTAATTGTGCCAGGTTCATCTCGTGGAGAGGTTTGTTGCCCCAGGACATAATTCGGTCCCCCAGCAAAGGAAGACCAACCTGTAAAAGAAAACAATTTCATCATCAGCCCTCTACCTAAGTACATTTTTCCTCTAAAGTGTGAATTTATCACCCTTACAACATTGCTTCAAAAGCAAAACATTTAAATCAATTTTTTATCATCAAGAATCTGTCCTGAACTTGTATTACCTTTGTCTTGTCTAACAGTTGGTCTGTATAATAATCCCCAATGGTCTGACTTTCTCCAACACTTCACAAGCACATTCCCATTTTTGGAAATAGAAGTTAAAATTGGTCTTGATCTAACTCAAGACAGCTGACATGCACCTTTATTCTGAAAATCTCAGCTCATCATAAAAAGTCTGTCTGTGCCATCACTTCATGCGGCACATTACAATAGGACTACATTATTTATGTTGACACATGCGTAAAAATTTGCACCATTATTTGTCTTATGCTTGTATCATTTAGTTACGTTAGGCAAGAGTAGCAGAAAAATAATCAATAACTCCCGAGTGAGAAACATCAACCCTTAGGATAAGATTTATGAGGTTTGGCACTCTGCAAAGTCTCATTCTAAACTTCGAAAATCTTTCCCTGGGATTGAAATTTCTTTCTGCATCACACACGAGTGATACATTCCATTAGTCTCTCAGCCTGACAAGTACATAACACCTTGGGGGGGATCATCGACTACAAATTTCTTTGAAGACATCATGCAATTTTGTCTCCACATGAAGGCCATGAAAAACTGATCTGGTCTTGACATCGACTACATTTCTTAGAATTTAGAGCCACAGACAAGTTTAGTCGATACCGACGATTAAGGTTTCCGTTTTAGTGGATTACACAACACCGTCTTATAGACATAGTAGAACAACGGTTTTGGATAAGAACTTACGATGTCAGTTACAGGCGATTTCTTCTTCATCTGTTTCTCGACCTCCAGCTGCATATGAGCCATAGTACTTGCCTGCAAAGAAAAGAGAGGTTTGTTTGTCAGACATGTTTTTAACCTTCATGGATCTGCTGTAAAAAGAAACTAGCACATGATGATGTTTTCTTTGGTTCGGGGAAGTTTTGAGTGAAACAATAAAATGATACAATAACTCAAGTAATCGAAGAATTACTCCACAACCTTAACAGAAAGTTTAAATAGTACAGATTTTTTACGTTGGACAGGTTTCTTAATTCATACCATTATTTATAACTAAAACCAAAAAGGAATTTGACGTGTGATAAGAAGACATTTGTTAACCTTTTCAGTCCAATATTAACACTAAGACCACAATACATCAATGCTACCACTTAGGGTGTCGGTGATTCATTGAGGGACGTAACAACTGATTGGTTTTAAAAAAATCCCTCATATCTTTACCAAATGTTCTTTGTCTTTCACAATGACCTTTACCAAACATCCTTTGGATGACCTTTACCAAATGTCCTTTGCATGACCTTTACCAAATGTCCTTTGCATGACCTTTACCAAATGTCCTTCGCATGACCTTTACCAAATGTTCTTTGTCTTTCACAACGACCTTTACCAAACATCCTTTGCATGACCTTTACCAAAAGTCCTTTGCAGGACCTTTACCAAATGTTCTTTGAATGACCTTTACCAAATGCTCTTCCCAAACATTAGCCTTATGTGACATTTTAGATCTCTTACTTTAAGAATATGGCGGTATTCTATAGTACAGCTGTAATTCCATGCTGTAATCTACAGCACACCAGTAACTTCTTGTTACCTCATGGCTGTAACCAATGTCTGTGTCTGATGTGACATTTTAGATATCTTACTTTAAGAATATGGCAATGGTCTACAGTACAGCTGTAATTTCCATGCTGTAAGCTACAGTACAGCAGTAACTTCCTGTAACTAACTCATAGCTGCTACCAGTACATAATTTGTCTGATGTGACACCATACATTTCTTACTTCAAAAACATGGCTGTAATTTAGAGATGCTGTAACTTCTAGGCTGTAATCTTTAGTACACAAGTAACTTCCTGTAACCTCATTGCTGTAACCAGTACCGAGTCTGATCTCTCACTGTATTTCTCCATCCCTTACAATGTTATCACTTCCTTCCGCATATAAATTGTAGACGAACCATTTACATATAAAGAGCCTGAGACTAGTTGTTATACATCTCAATAAAACCTAGTCCCCTATCACGGTATCCCCTGGTGCTAAATCCTAGGTATTGGTACCCGCTCTGACTTAAGCTGGTAAGATAAATATCCTGGTAGTAACTCCTTGCTATTTTCCAATTGTTCTTTCTTTTGACCTAGTTGCAGCCTTTTAAAGTACTTTATCTATCAACCCCGAGAATTATTTATGTAACTTTTGTTCCAGCATTGACCTAGATTCTGCTTTATGCTTTAGCAACAATTCCCCAAACTATCACTACTGGTATCAGACTCAACACTTTTCAACATTATTCCTTTCTTAGAAAACCATTTTAAAGAGTACTCCCTATAGTTATGACCCATGACACAACTCACTAAAAGCTGCATCACAATTTTACTAGCGGCCTGATGCCTGAAGATACAATTCTGCATTGTGTCAGAGCCAGTGAATATTTTCAATAGTTTTTATGAAAATACATTGTATAGGTTGCTAGTTCTTTAAAACATGCATAGTGTGTCATTAAATAATTGTGTTTTCCCTTTTTTTGCTGAAATTGTTAAGGAAATACTGGTTATGCTTAACCTGTTACAAGTTACTTTGGGCAAAGTAACGCTCAGAAATAATTGCATTTAATTATCAAACTTGTCAATGGCTTCACACCTCCTAATGCCAAAGGGGGATACACCCATCACTGAGTTCTGTAATGTTCAGATCAGTCCCCTTTGCAGAATGATGCTTTGATAAAATTTGGTTAAAATCCCTCCAGCTGTACTGAAGGATAAGTGTTTAAAGATTTAGCTTTATTTCTCCTCTTGGGCCCCATCACCTAGCCTCCAGGAAGGCACATCCTGTTAGCCAAGTTCCATTGGTGCAGTGTTGCTTCATACTAATTTGGTTATAATCTGTTAACCTATACTGAAAGAGTAGCCTTTAGTATATAAACTATGTTGCTCTTAATTTGGTTCTTGCCACTGTCTCAAGTGATGAGACACCTTATGTAAAGTCCCGTGGCCTAGTTACACTTAAGATTGAATTTGGTTAAATCTCCTTCATCTGTACAAAAAGGCTTTTACTCTAATAGGATCCTGTTTGTCTGCCTATTTTGGATTTTCTTTTCTTTTATACTAAGTATCATTGGTCAAGCCAACTTATCTTAAAACCCTTCATATATACTGATGCAGTCTTTTCAAGATTAACCTTTATTTCTCCTATAGGGCCCTGGCCCTCTGCTGCATGGGGGAAAACTTTTTTTTATACAACATTAAGTGTTGTTGGCCTTATAACCTTATGATTAATTACTTACATCTAAACTGAATGAGTGTTTCTGAAAATTTACCTCTTTTTCTCCAATTTGGACCTGCTTAATTTCTCTGCCTCTTGGGGGCCAAAGTCTTTCTTTTATACAACACTAAGTAACGTTGGCCGGGCCACCTAACCAGTTATGTTAAAAAACTTCATGAAAACTGAAGGAGTCTTTTTCAAGATTTATCATTATTTCTCATATTGGGCCCTGCCCCTCTGCCCCTTGTGGCAAAATCCATCTTTTATACAAAAATTAGTCCCAGTTTCCAAATATTGATCTTTGATCTATCCCAAAGTTTGGTTTGACCTACCTTGACTTGACTGAAAATGAGGCTGGCACCTAACTCTGTTGTACGATCGACTAATTGCAGTGATATGGCGTGAACCACGAACCATATATAAATTTCCAATCAGCTATCATTTACCAACCATTAACATAACTTACAGGCCAGTTATTTCTGCTGATGAGGCCTATCCCATGATGCAAGGATCAATGGTTTCAGTTGCATCTGATTCCCTTCGGATACGAAGATGTACGTACGTAATTATACCTAGGACATTTTCTCCGTCTGACAAGGCCACAATTACGCGCAGCAATTTTTAACAATACTGCAACAAATCTATTACATGTTTATTCCGGTTGTCCTATTTTCTTACAAACCAATGCCATCAGTTACCCACGGCTGGTTTTATTACATTGCCGTTCATTCACTGGGAGATATATATATATATATATATATCTGAAAAATTTATGTTTTTATTCTGTATTTTCCTTCGCAAGGACTTATTTATTTATTATCTACTATATATATATATATATAGATCTATTACCTGTGTCTGTCCGAACATGACATGTGACCAAATTAAGGACGGCTGCCAGATTATTTCATCAAAGCTGACATCTCATTAATGACTTGTGTAGGCAGTTGCTCTTCTGAATCACAGTAGCCAATAGATACGAGTACTCTGTTTTTCCTGTAATATGCCCAGGGGACATGACACATAGTCTCTGGCTCAAAGTAAGGGGGTGGGCTTATTGCAGGACAATGACACAATATTTATTTGCATTTCAGCCGAACTGCTTTAATAAAGGTGAGCCTAAATTATCATGCATGCAGGGCTTATTGCTGGATAAATATGGTATGTGCTATCTAGTATCTGACCACACCAAACAAGATTTAACTTTTTATGATAAAACTATATCAGCACTAAAATTTGAAAGAATCTTTTATCAAAATTTCTTTGTAACAACAGTCCACTGAGCAATTTCAGGCCTTTTCTAAGATATGTCTATTTCTAAGTACTTTTCAAGCACTGACCTCCATTTCAGTTGTATGAACCATGTTTTTGTATCAGGACTATTTTGGCCCCTGTTACAGAAATAATTACTTGTGTCAGGACTATTATGGCCCCTGTTACAGAAATAATTACTGGTGTCAGGACTATCATTGCCCCTGTTACAGAAATAATTACTTGTGTCAGGACTATTATGGCCCCTGTTACAGAAATAATTACTTGTGTCAGGACAATTATGGCCCCTGTTACAGAAATAATTACGGGTGTCAGGACTATCATTGCCCCTGCTACAGAAATAATTACTTGTGTCAGGACTATTATGGCCCCTGTTACAGAAAAAGATACTTGAGTCCAAGCTATCGTGACTTGCATGTTATAAAATAATTACTTCTGTTTAAGCTATTTTTCTCCCTGTCTTCAGGTACAGAAATACTAGCTAACTTGTGTTTAAGCTACTTTTATCCACCGTATACAGAAATACTTGTATTCGAGCTATTTCTGCCCACCATGTACAGACATTCTTACTTGTGTTTAAGCTATTTTGCCCACCATGTGCAAAAATACTTGTATTTGAGCTACCCACCATGAACAGAAATACTTACTTGTGCCAGGGCTATTTTGGCTTCCCTTTGGAGTCGGGCTTGTTTCTTAAAGAAATCCTCATCTGTGAGTTGTTTGGCACCAGGTGGCCCGGACTTGCCTGTCCTCTCAGCAGCCATGGACATTTTGTTGTCTGACAAATCTGGATTACTTCCAGCAGCTAAAGAATTTTTGACATCTGTCGAATCGAGTTTGTTCATCATAGTCTGAAAACACAACGAAGACATGCTACACTGACCATATTTGGAGTTACTGCAGAGAAAAGGGATGCCTGGAGAAAAAACTTTTCTAATGAAACTACATCAACTGTGTACCGAAAGATGAACACATTAAGCTGGCAACGAAGGATCACCAGAGAATCTCACTGGCACTAGGGGGTTGATGTCTCAGAGGTTTTTCATTAACTTTTTCTGTTTACATTTGGTGTGTTGATAGAGTCAGGACCAAGGTGCCCCTGATGGAATGATCCATCAACCCCGACACACAATACGCTCATGGGTCTCTGAGGATAGCCATTCTATTCATTTAAATAAGAGCTGCAGGTCGGGTTCTTCATCTTGTTACAGAAGGAAGTGGGTTGTAATCCCCGTAGTCTCACTACGTACATACATGTTCGTATTTGATAACACTCGCAACACTTTTATAGCCTACATCACCATTGGCTTCTCACCAAAATGACCAACTGTTTCTTCAATTTTGTTCCAAATTTCCCTAAATTGGTTCCAAAAATCCATGATGCCCAGGTCAAAACACATCAAATGAATGTTTATATAAATTTTGTAATACTTTCTAAATAACTATATCTTCAATTTTGTTCCCAATTTCCCGAAATTTGTTCCAAAAATCCATGATGCCCAGGTCAAAATACATCAAATGATTGTTTGTATCAGTTTTGTAATACTTTCTAGAAAACTATTTTTTCAATTTTGTTCCCAATTTCCCAAAGATTTTAAAAATCCATGATGCCCAAACGAATATTTAATTAGATAATGCCCCTCGCTTCCTTTGCCAACTCGCTTACTGACAATATATTTCACTGCCTTTTTTCTCTTTTTCTTAAGAATTCCTTTATTATGTTTTCCTCAATTTATCACCAAACCTCTTTATAACGTCAAAATATGTCTGGACAAATGGTGGCAGAATCACAGGGTTTTTAGTGACACTTACTGTACAGTGTATATATACAAACACACAAACATCGAAAGAATTAATTCATGTGTCATATCTAATGAATTCAGACACAGATTCTGTAATATCTTTCAACACTACATTGGATTTCGGGTATTAGTTTCATGCATCATTTTTGAAAAAAATACAAACGTATCAGACATTGAGATATATATACCTACATACTCTAATTTCACTGTTGGATTATGGCAATCTAGTATTCTGTTTAGTTGGTTCATGCATGCTTGTCATGTGACCATATATGACCTTGAACTTAAATATACTGAGTTGCCTGGTATTGTGTCCTTGAACTCTGACACCAGGCTGCCAAGATTTGGTAACCTTGGTCTAGGACCTATTTTGTTTTTATAGTTTTGCGAGTTTGATTGATATTGATGTCAGAATTTTGTGACCTTATAACTCTGACACAATTGGTAATTTGACCTTTGACTGACATATAACAACAGTTTTTTAACTTAAACTTTTAAAAAGTTGTCTGTCATGACATCGTAAACTTGAATTATAGCATAAGTTAAAATTAGTTTGCGTCCTTGGGTTTTTACTTTACGAGTTGCAATACTTTTATCGCTTAAACTTTGACCTTATTACCATGAATGCTTAAACAGACAGATATGCTAACTTGCATATTCGTAACTTATGACCCGCAACTTCCTGCAACAAAAGAATCTAAGATCTCATGGAAATATACCTTACAGAAAACCAAAAAGACAGTCTGTTCATGGTTAGTAAAAAAACATTTCATTTCCAATGCGAAGAGGCTTGACACCAAAAACACAAAACCATAAACCAATATCCTTTTCAAGGTCGCCATAAGAAGGTCTAGAAAATGAAGTTAAAAATTTTCCAAAATGCATAATGAAATTTCAATGGTTAGAGTGTTTGTTAGGGAAGACGGCAGTTGACATGTCATAATTGCACTGTTAATGGTGGGAATAGCTAGGTCTGAGAAATCTGTATCGCTAACACAAGGTCATGCAACTGACTGTGATATTGTCGTTCCAATGATGTTTTAGTTTGTTCACAGTAAGACCATGAAAAACATGGTTCTTCACCCCTGAAAATATCTGTCCAAGAACAAGAACTCATCAAAAATGCATTGACCATGCAAAACCATTCCTGTGAAAGTCGTTGTTATAATGTTATCTCTTAAATAACAAAACCTTGTTACGATAGCATCCCCCATCAAAAAGAAATCATTGTTATAATAGATCCCTCGTCAGAAGTATGTCGTCACATTTAAGTAGCATGCTGTCGTGTGGCCTATATGCTTTGGCCACACAACGAATAAATTGGTATCCTCACCTTATTTTGAAAAAATTTGGAAAGTTTTGAAGAAATCTGTTGAAAAATTTGTAATGCATGTTACTAAAATATACAATTGTGCTTTAACCAACAAAATGGCGTGAAGGTTAGTAATGTAGAAAGCTTGTAACGTACTCGACTACTTCCACAGAATTATTAAAAAATTCTGCAATAAATGCCAGGAAAAACAAACATGAGTTAGCTATTCAAACAAATTTAAACTGTAAAAATATTTAGACCTTTCATCAATATGTAAATGTTGCTAGAATGTGGTATACAGCAAAAATCGATATAAAATTAATGCCCATCATTTCATTTGCCACTTCGTATACTGCCAATACATGTATTTCAAAGTCCCTTTTTCAGGTTTTCTTAATAATTCCTTTATACATTTCCCTCAATTTATCGCCAAACCCCTTTATAACACTAAAATTTCTTTGGACAAATGGTGGCAGTATAGCAAGGTTTTAATATATTTGTTACACTTAAATTTTTGTTACTTAACTCTTTCACTTCATGAACTTTTCCAACATTTGAATTGGAAGAGTCCAAATGTGTCTTAAGGGGTGAATGATTTATTAATAGACTTGTTTGTATCAAACGTGATTGCAAGGCCAAATATTGCAAGTTTCATGTTTTTTAAGCAACCAAATTGAGATATAATACTGTAAAATATTAATGGCAATTTTAGACAAGCACTTTATATAAATCAAATCTCTTTGTCTTTGTACCTTTACTGTGAGAGCATATCACATTACATTTTCGATAAATAAAAACATTCCCTTCCAATCAAAAACTTTTATTTTTCATTATATAAAGAAACCTGAAACATGCAATGTATTTATTTTGGCTCTACTAATAGAAAATTTTAATCTATATTATATCATTATGAAAGCAAAAATATGTTTGTCCTCCAGGGATACAAAACCATTGCAGACATCAAATAGTGTTCGGCATTCACAGAAATACTTAGTTTTATTGCTTAACATTTAACATTTCATGAAACTGTTGAAATCTCAGTACAACTTAAAAAAAAAAAGTTGATTCAGACCCTATTTTTTTCCTTCTAACAGTGTACAGGTAAATATTAAGGAAACAGAAAATAGCCAAGTGGACAATGATTAACCAAACATGGCCAGAAATATCCCTATTTAAGAAAAAACTTATAACTTCTTAATACACACAATATTCATTTAAACAATAATATATGACATTACTTTCTAATGCAGACAAAAACACTGCTATCAGATATTCTGTAGAAAAATAATATTAAATATAATAATAATTTATCCCCGGCAATCATTATGACATAATTTTATAATGCAGAAGAGAAAAAAAATGCAGACTGAGACAAAAGTGTATTGGGTAGCACCTACCAGTATTACCACAGGTTCCGTCTCCCGTAGAACCTAGAACTGACAAGTTCACTTACGGCCAGAATCATCACCACTGCCTCACAACTTAAGTATCCCATCAGGAATATCAACTTATTAAAAATGAATAATTAAAAGAAGCAGACGTACCATAAATCAGACCATGATATAATGATTGTGAGCATGTCACCACTTTTCACGGCAGCCTATCTCCGATGAGCGAGGAGGAAATACCAGGCAAAGCAGACTACTGGCTAGCAACTACAGACGCTTGCATATTGATCACGGTACAACTAGTGACTAATATAAGGACAAGATAGCAGGCCCTTCCCAAACCTGGGCGTGCATCACATGTACAGTGCACTTGGGGAGCTAGCTACAGGGCCTTACCCTTACCTGGGTATGTGTCACATGTATAGTGGACTTGGGAAGCCAGCTACAGGGCCCTTCCCGTACCTGGGTATGTGTCACATGTACAGTGCACTTGGGGAGCTAGCTACAGGGCCTTACCCTTCCCTGGGTATGTGTCACATGTACAGTGGACTTGGGAAGCTAGCTACAGGGCCCTTCTCATACCTGGGTATGTGTCACATGTACAGTGCACTTAGGGAGCCAGCTACAGGGCCTTACCCTTACCTGGGTATGTGTCACATGTACAGTGTACTTGGGGAGCTAGCTACAGGGCCTTACCCTTACCTGGGTATGTGTCGCATGTACAGTGCACTTGGGAAGCTAGCTACAGGGCCCTTCCCGTACCTGGGTATGTGTCACATGTACAGTGCACTTGGGAAGCTAGCTACAGGGCCCTTCCCATACCTGGGTATGTGTCACATGTACAGTGCACTTGGGAAGCTAGCTACAGGGCCTTACCCTTACCTGGGTATATGTCACATGTACAGTGCACTTATGGAGCTTGTTACAGGGCCTTACCCTTACCTGGGTATGTGTCACCTGTACAGTGCACTAATGGAGCTTGTTACAGGGCCCTTCCCGTACCTCAGCATGCATCACATGTACAGTGCACTTGGGGAGCTTTATAGCTACAAGGCCTTAACCTTACCTCAGTATGTGTCACATGTACAGTGCACTTGGGAATTTCGAAGCTAGCTACAGGGCCCTTCCCGTACCTGGGTATGTGTCACATGTACAGTGCACTTAGGGAGCCATGCAGCTACAGGGCCTAGGTTACCCATACCTGGGTATATGTGTCACATGTACAGTGCACTATGTGTCACATCTACTTTTCACTGGGGGATCCAGCTACAAGGCCCTATCCAATACCTTTGTATTTGTCACGTCTTATGTACACTAGCTACAGGCCCTACCCTTATCTGGGCATTTGACATATCTACTGTGCACTTCAGGGGAATGCAATTTTTTATCAAAATGTTCAGACAATTTTTTTCTTTTAAATTGAAATTTTGAAATCTTGTTGCTGATGTTGTAATTAAAATGAAATCAATTTACTGACATTGATATCATAACCAAAGCAGAAACTGACATCATACTCAAACAAAGCGAATTACAGACTTTGTAATGATATCCAAGGCTATTAGTGATGTTGTTATTAAACAAAACTAATAACTGATGTTGTAATCAAGATAAGATCAATTTGATATTTTGACCACTGAAGTCAAATAAATTACTGAACTTGTCATTAGATTTCAATAAACATTGCAAAGTATAGAGAAATCTAAAATTCACCACCTCTGGAGAAAATTTAGTGCATGAAATGGGTCATTCCTCTGTGTATTTTGAGGTACGAGACCTGATTTCAGTACACAACAATATTCTATCCTAAGAGTTGTCGGGTAGAGCAGTGGATAGCGCACTTGCCGGGGTTCGATTCCCCAATTGGACGTGTAAAGGTAGAGGGTCACCTGCCATGTGGGTTTTCTCCAGGTAGTCCGATTTCCTCCCACATTAAGACCCCCCCCCCCGCCCACTAACATCCAGGTCAACAAAAGTAATTAATATAAGTTGAAATAACCTGTTTCATAATTGTTGTAAAATAAATAAAGTTTAAATTTATATTTCATCCCAAGAAGTACTGTATACTGGGAAATTTTTGCCACAGTTTAACTTCCGCCTTTTTACCACATCAATACACAAAACGTGGTAATTGTACGGGACAGCTAGAGTCTATGACATGTGCAATGGACAAAGTGACGCAGTGAATAAAGGGCCATAACTCTGTAAATCATTGAGCATAAAATCTGATTTCAGTGGGATGGTACCCTTAATCGTATCAAGACGTATTCATATAAAGGGCCATAACTCTGTAAATCATGGAGCACAAGATCTGATTTCAGTGGGATGGTACCCTTAATCGTATCAAGACGTATTCACATAAAGGGCCATAACTCTGTAAATCATGGAGCACAAAATCTGATTTCAGTATGATGGTGCCCTTAATCATATCAAGACGTACTTGAATAAAAAAGATTTGGCAATCGTAGGAGAGTATATGAGATATGCCCGGACAAAAAGCGCCAAGTGATGCGCAGGCTGAGTACAAACAGATAGCACTGTTCTGTGACTTAAGTAATTAGCTCGACTTTAAAACAAGACTGCGTAGGAACCTCTGGAGTCTACAGTACAAATTTTACAAAGTCGATGAGGATGTTCATACTTTGATTATTATTGCATCAAATTTTATGGGTTGAGCTTATTTCCTCCCCCCCCCCTTCCCCCTCCCCCCCTACCTCGAAATAAAAATTCTATACACTTTTTATGCATTAAACCACAAAGAAAAAAAAATTATGAAAAAAAAGACATTATACTTTAATTATATTATTTCACCAGTTTCTCCCAAGGGATGTTTTTTTTTGAGATTTAAATTGAAAAAAAACATCTATACACTTTTCAACATAAAAGTACAATGAAAAAACATCTTAAAATAAACATGAGATCAAATTTTAATTATATTCGGGATATGGGGATGAAAGTTTAAGTTGTACACATGTATACTGACCTTGTCCTCCTGGAACAGGTCCGACTTTTGAGGTGAAGATTTAACAGGGTCGGGCTCCTCCCCCGGGGATTCATTCATAAAACAGATCTGTAGGTTCATACCGCTCTGGAGCCTTTTGGAGAGGTTGGGTTTTTTATACGACCTCTCTCCACCGTAGTAATCCTCCTCCAGACCCCCCATGGCCAGCTTCCGACGGATCTCCTCGCGGTCATTACGCTGTGACTGAAATGACAAGAGCACACATGAAGCAGATAAACAAACACACGCATGATTAAGATGGGACGTTGTGTCTAGATGAATATGGATTGGATACTGTTAGATTGCGATGTAATTACAGATAGGCTCCATTGTACTCTAATGGTTCTGTAACATGGAGCAGCAAGATTATAACAAAAAATCTGGAGGGTTTTTAGAAATAAATTTCACATTTGACAGAATACATTTATATCCTCCCTAATGCCACCCACACATCGTTATTACATGCAATCATTTCAAGCTAAACAATCGCTGCGCCTCTAAGAGCCAACAGGTTGTGATTTCTAAAGAGACAAAATGTTGTAACCATCTTTAAAAATCGATGTGTTTCGTAGTAGATTGTAAACATTAATCATCCGAGTTGAGTAAACATTTGACAATTAATGCACGAAACGAAGAAGACAAAACGGTTCAGCCAGCCGTGTATTATATATCGTACCACCTGGTCCCTGGGTAGGTACGACTGGCACCAATAGTGACACAACCAGACAGACAGGATCACTACATCGGTAGCTTTCAGAAATCGTAATCGTGTTGGCACAACTTCTGCGAAACAGTTCTCAAGTTTGAAAATCAATATGTGCACACGATCTGACATAACAAACAAGCAAACGTTTGCTTTTGCTTTTGCCACCTATAGACGTCCTTTTTCGAGTTGCTGCCTTTTAGCTTTTTTTCATAGTCTCTGCCTTATACATTATTTTTCATAGTCTCCGCCTTGTAAATATATATTTCTTTACAGTCCCTATCTTATTAGTTGATTTTTATAGTTGCAGCCTGAAAAGATGAATTTTGCAGTCACCATCTTAAAGTTTCTTTTTAGCGTCTCATAATCTATTTTTAATAGCTCTCACAACAGAAAGTGATTTTGATAGCCTCTTCCTTGTAAGTTTATTTTTAGTCACCATCTGAAGGTTATTTCAATAACCAGTCTTATAAAATAATTTTTATAGTAACCACCTTATATAGTCCCCATGTATAAAAAGGGCAATAACTCTGCTAAAATGATTGAATCTAAACAATAAAATGAAAATTATGCACAATTACATGATAAACTGTTAAAATGTTTAAAGTTTCCCTATCTTCATTGGATGGGTATTATAAAGTAAGTTCAGTATAATTATATGGGATCTATTTACACACCATATTGACGAAACATCTTCTCTAAATGGAAAACAGTTCCCTGACAAGTAATCTCCCTTAACATACCACATTATCCAGTAATCCACCCCGGACGGACCATATATTAATGACCGCTCCCCACAACTGAAGACAAAAGGGTATAGTACCAATGTAACAGTTGTATAATCATGGAGAAGAATTCCACTTGGAGCTTTTTATTTTACTCTGAGTATTTTCCCTTATAAATTTATCAGATGAAGCACAAACAAACACAAAAGGTGGTCAAACAGTGACGTATTAAATGTGTTGCAACATTTCAAGACCGACTGGTCCCTTTGTCAAGCATTTAACACGTACATCGTTTGTGTGGAAAGTTAAATTTGATATTACATATTTTCAAACGGATGAAATCTTATTGTCTTATTGACAGCACAAAAGGAGGTTTTCTGGCTTACAGCTTCTACGTATCCATATCAAGGTATTCATCGATTGTAATTCCCCCCCCCCCCCCATCCCCCCATTATGAAATTTCAGGGGTGAATGAGTTAATGTGATGATACTCGGTACCTTAAAGATATATAACGCATTTAAGAATAATAATTGTGACACTGATTCTAATCCGACATATTAATTAAAGTTTAAAAGATAATGACAACCCCAACAGTATGTTCCTGCGGGTATGTACATATATAAATGAATCGACACTGACATCCAGTTACGAAAAATAGATCAAAGAGACCTTATCCAGGTATACAGCCTCACCTGGTGTCAGTACAAAAGAGACCTGCCAGTTAAGGGAACAATAAAAATATGATAGATTTCAAACATGCATGTAGAAATCACTTTCAAATCTGAATTTCAAAGAAAACCTTAATTGGCAGTGATCCAAAGGATTCAGAACATCAGCGTTGTCACAAGAGAAACAGATAATGATAAAAAAAAAAGCATGGAAAATTTTCTATCGTTTAAATGTACAGCATACTCAGCATGATTTCATACTTGGTGACCTTTTCTAGGTGCGACAATTGTCTGATCACAACAAGGATTTTCTGTCCGTCAGCAAAACTAGATTTGGTATTTATCGATTTTCTGAATGGAACTTGGTGCACAGATTTACAATGAAGCATTGATTTAATTTCAACTTCTAAACAAAATGTTTTTTGATTTTCAAAACTTCGATTAATCATTATTGTAACAAGATTTATTATGTTGTAACAGCATAATGACGATGCAGTTTAATCCCTTTCACCCCTATGTAACTTTAGTAGACTCTTCCATGCATTTATGGGGATTAGTCCATTATGGTCTACGGTGGTGAAAGGGTTAAATGATTTCTTTCAGGGCTGGAAAATAAGGATATCCCAATATTCTGAGACTAGTGAACTTAATCCTTCTGGACTAGTGCGGTTTTAAAAACCACTAGCTCAAATGGCTAATCAAAATTCAATGTTACTAATATCATGTTAAATAATAACTTGACAATGAATTTGCATGGGTTACCGTATAGTGGTATTTGCACAAGAACTAGTGAAATTCGCAACTACCAGCCTGACTAATGAGCTGCTTTTAAAATTAATTTCTAGACTTGCATTTGATTAAAAAATAATTTATATAAAAGATATCAAATTGATGTCTTAATCAATCTGTTATTCCTAAATAATAATAATCAATGTGTGTAAAATATGTACATCACTGCCTGTTGTCTCGGTGTGTCTGCCAGTAGAGATCCGTGGCCCAACCTACCATACAAGATGGATTGTGCTGGCCCAACCACGCCGACAGGGTAAACGTATCATTACCAAACCAAACGAACACGTAAATCAAACCGCACTCTCCCATTTGTCACTTGTATATGCATGAGAGCCAGATCCTTATTGATTCGGAGTTGGAGGAGGAATATGGCAGTAACGATAACATTCGTCCCTGTGGGACCATATTGAAGACAGGTGGAATATGGGTCGGAATATTGGGGGTGAAGACAGTCTCATTTCAGTGTGGTAATTTAGGATAGGGGAAGGATGACGGAGCTTAATGGAAACAATATTTTCTGTTCTCTCTGGAGACCGAAATGTTGATTGGAGAATCTATGAGGACACAAACAATAAATGTTCTAGGCTGAATTATAACCTTCCAGGGTTGTTATCTATTTTAGGTATATAAGGCACTTTGTAAGTGGGGGGTAAGGATCGTCCAATCAGAAGCTTTCTTGGTAGTCCTACTTATCTAATCAAGAACCTTCTATTAAACATTTATATCTATAACTAGCAACATATACATTTCCTCCAAAATTATTGAATTATTCTGATGGAAATCCACAACTCTGATTGAGTTGTCTCCCCTGGACTGGACATAAAATTCAATTTACATACACTTGGCTATAATAATTGTTACATATCCATATCGACAATAACTATCATTATTATAATCAAATCAAGCTTCTCACACAATTTTTTGTGTGGTTAAGAAAGTTACAAATATTTATATAATATCAGCATCAATGTAAAAGGATTTTTTACATAATTCTTACTATGATTGAACAAGACATCGCAAATGATGCAAATTTCCTCCTGTGAATAAATTTTACTAAAAAATTAAAATTACAGTGACGTTGACTTGGCATTGCAAAATGTAAATTTGTTCGCAGGGTGATGTGTCGCTTATTATAGGATAGTGAAATGATTATTGATGGCATTGTTGTTGGTTTATTTCCCTGAATAGGCTTATTGCAAATGAATACAACACTTTTCTGAAATATGAAGTTTGTTCAAATTTGAAAACAAAGGAAGTGGGTGAAGTGAAGGTACAAGGTAAATTACAAACAGACTGCCACAGGTAACATCCCATTCAAACCTCATTGCAGGAGGAGAATCATCGAACAGGCAATCTAACATATTTGATGGGTACACCATTGAAACCAACAGTAAATTGATTGAGCAGACGGACCAACCTAAACTCATTCACTCCCGAAATATCATAATGAGCTCTTCCATCCCTTGAATTGGAAGAGTTCAAATGTGTCTTCAGGGTTGAATGAGTTAAGTTTGTCTTTTGCAGGCTCAAATCACAAACACAATATTGTTCATTGTTTAATGAAAGCAAACATTCTGTATTTGCTCAAGCATCGGATGGCATTGACCGGCACTGAAATGACCATTATGTGAAATGACCATCTATAATTGACCAATGGCAGAACAATTAATACATATTGACCATTTACAGTACATACTCATTTACAACAATATCATGTTCCGGTAGTAAATCTTCATACTACAATATAAATACAATAGAGGTGTTCAATAACGAAGTTCACATGTCAGAACATCGACTGTTGCAGAAATAATCGACATATTTGTATAGCTGTCAAGGCTCCCTCATTTTGACCAAAATTTACTAATCTCCCTCAAAACTCCCAAAATTCAAATTCAAGCTCACACAATCTCAGAATCTACAACCTGTGGTCAAATGATCTCCTAGTTTACAGTGTGTGTTTAATAATCATAACAGGTGTGTCTGAATCCAAAGAATGCTTTTTGGAGTTATTTTGATACATAAAACGGGAAAGATAAATTGAGAAAAGCACTTTCAGTGACATTAAATGCACTTTCTCCTTCATTTGAAATGTGGAACGAGGGAGATCTCCTTCAGTGGAGGTTTCAGAGGTTGACACCTATGTATTTCCAAGTATTATGGTGGAAAGTGTAACTGAAGTCAGAAAATGTTGGAAAAAAACCAAACAAAAACGGCTGCTTTGGCCTAAACCATTTTTCTTATATTTTCTTATCTAGAATTGTAACTACCTGAAAACTTAGACAAATTCAAGTTGCACAAGGCTCCCTTGTTTACAA